CTCTTGATCTCAGCTCAGATCTCAATCTCAGGGTCATTGATTTGAGCCCTGCATTGGGCTGCATGCTGGGCATGGAGCCTACTTTAAAAATAAATAAATAGGGGATCCCTGGGTGGCGCAGCGGTTTGGCGCCTGCCTTTGGCCCAGGGCACGATCCTGGAGACCTGGGATCGAATCCCACGTCGGGCTCCCGGTGCATGGGGCCTGCTTCTCCCTCTGCCTGTGTCTCTGCCTCTCTCTCTCTCTCTGTGACTATCATAAATAAATAAATTGAAAATAATAATAATAATAAATAAATAAATAAATATTTAAGAAAAAAAACAACAACAGGAACTCTCATTCATTGCTAGTGGAAATGCAAAATGATACAGACACTTTGGAAGACAGTTTGGCAGTTTCTTACAAAACGAAACATGTTTCTACCACATGATCCAGCCATTGTGTTCCTTGGTATTTACCCAGATAAGTTGAAAACGTATGTCCACACAAAAACCTGCATATGAATGTTTATAGCAGCTTTATTCATAACTGCCAAAACTTGGAAGCCACTGAGATTTCCTTCACTAGGTGAATGGATAAACTGTGGTACATGCAGGCAATGAAATAGTATTCAGCACTAAAAAGAAATAAGCAATTGGGGAGGTTATGCCTGTGTGGGGGTAAGGGGTTTACTTGAGATCTCAGTACCTTCCATTCAATTTTTCTATGAACCAAAAATTGATCTACAAAATAAAGTCTTTTTATAAATAGATAAAATGTCATAATTATTACACCATACCTGGTCTCCCAAAATGCTTTCAAATTTATACTGAAGATTTTTAAATATCCACATGGTGACCATGTTATTAAAGGGACATTAAAAGACCAGTAATCTTAACTTTAGTGCCCAAGAAAAAAATGAGGAAAAAATTAATAAACCAATTTTCAAACCCCAAAAGAGAACAAAGTACACAATACTCATTTTATTAAGAAAATTCTGGTCAGGGGTACCTTGGTGGTTCAATCAGGTAAGCATCCAACTCTTGGTTTCAGCTCAGATCATGATCTCAGGGTCATGAGATAAGCCCCAAATCAGGCTCTGCACTCAGCACAGAGTCTGCTTGAGTCTCTCTCTTCTCCCTCTCCCTCTCCTTTGCCCCTCCCCTACTCATGCATGTATGCACTCTCTTTCTCTCTCTTAAAATAAATAAATAAATAATAAAATATTTTTAAAAAAGGAAAAAATTCAGGTCAGGCAAAGAAGTCATATTACAGCATAGCAGCAGAGCAGAATTGATCTGACTAATTATAGTGAGACTTTTGTCCCACATCCTTAGGCTTCCTAAAAGGTTAGGAAATAGGAGTTTGGTGACATTGTTCTCGGTTGGAAAGGCAAATATTCTCGTTGAATTAAACTGAGGAGAGTTTGGAGAGGTCAGTCGTGGATCTAACGGCATTTAAAGGGTCCATGGGGAAGAGTCCTTAATACAGGAAGAAGGAAGAACACTGCCAAGGTTGTGAGTTAGAGGGAACAGATATGCTAACAGGCACCTCACTTTGGCAGATCTTAAGCAGAAGTCCATGAGAATTTCTTCTGAGAAGCTTGTCCCAGCTGGAGAAACACTGGTCTGGAATGTTCTGACCTTGTTGAAGGTTCTGACCATATGAAGCAGAAACAAAGACCAGATATGTACTTCTCTTGCTTCCCCAAATAGTCATTCATTTACCCTTCCCTTTTTTAATATATATTGATAGAGTACCTCCCATATTCTAGGCTGTATACTAGATGTTGAGGATGCAGAGTAACTAAAACAGAGTCCTTGCTTTCATGGAGGGAGATGCAGACAATAAAAAAATAAAAATGTAATAACATGTCAGTATATGAGAGGTGCTAGGAAGAAAAATGAGGCAGGTAAAGGAACAGAGTGACAAAGTATTGGGGTATTATTTTTATTATTTTTTAAAAGCTTTGATTTATTTATTTGATAGGGAGCACATGAGAGAACAAGAGAGAGCATGATCAGCGGTAGGTACAGAGGGAGAGGGAGAAGCAGCCTCCCTGCTGAGCAGGGAGCCCTACACAGGGCTTGATCCCAGAACCCTGGGTCATGACCTGAGCCAAAGTCAGATGCTTAACCGTCTGAGCCACCCAAGCACCCCTGGAGTTTATTTTAGATGAGGCTTCTCTGATGGGGTGATTTCTGGGCAGAGACTGACTGAAGGGGTTTTTAAAGAAATCCACAGGAACATGATGAAATGTTTCTGTAGGTTTCTCAAATATGAACCAAAAAGGTGAAAATGTGGTACCCAACTGAAAACAAGACGCTGGGACAAGGAGATTAGAATGACATGCAGAAGAGGATGGTGAATTTTGGAATCAGACAAACCTGGCTGGGTTTAATCCCTGCCCTGCTATGACCTTTATGAAGTTATTTAATATCTTCAAGTCAACCCCAATTTTGCTGTCTGTAAAACAAGGACCAACTAAAGTATCAACTTTCCTGGGTTATAATAAGACTTATAAAAATTCAATGAGATGATATATTTAAGACTATCAAGCCCAATGCCATATTGTACCGTAGGAGTTTTTTAAATGATAGCTATTATTATTTACCAGAATGTGACAAATTGGTTAGTTTCACTTTCTTGTCAAAAGAATTTTGTTTTATTTATTTTATTTTATTTTTTAAAGATTTATTTACTTATTTATGATAGACATAGAGAGAGAGGCAGAGATACAGGCAGAGGGAGAAGCAGGCTCCATGCCGGGAGCCCGACACGGGACTCGATCCCAGGACTCCAGGACACCCTGGGCCAAAGGCAGGCGCCAAACCGCTGAGCCACCCAGGGATCCCCACCAAAAGAATTTTAAAACAAAGACTAACATGCTTAAAAGAAAACAGGGGTTTTAATCTAGAATCCATGGATCTGTATATTGAGGATGGAGTGTCCATGGATTGGTTTTTAAGATGTCTATAAATCCCAGAAACTGTGTGCAAAATATGTGTATTTTTCTGAGAAGACGGCAGTTAGCTTTCGTCATATTCTCAAAGTAGACAATGACCTCGGCAGTTAAGAGCTACTGCTTTTCAAGCCAGCATTTCACTGTCTTTGTTGTTTGCTCATTTTTTTTTCCATTTCCGGTTATTCTGGTTTTCTGATCACAGAGTATCCAGAACAATGGAAGTTTAAAAATGAATAAAAATATTTAAAGTTCTTGCTTTCCCGTTACCATCTTATTAAAGACATTATCTATTGGTGATAGCATTCTCTTTTATTCTTTTTTTTTATGATAGTCACACACAGAGAGAGAGGCAGAGACACAGGCAGAGGGAGAAACAGGCTCCATGCACGGGGAGCCTGACGTGGGATTCGATCCCGGGTCTCCAGGATCGCGCCCTGGGCCAAAGGCAGGCGCCAAACCGCTGCGCCACCCAGGGACCCCTCTTTTATTCTTTTCATTTGCTAGAGCTAGAAAGTGAGTTCTTATTCACTTTAATATTCTCCTTGGGTTGACTTTCTGATTCTATGCTTAAAAGAGAGTGGTGTTTTGTCATACTCCTTACTTATGTAGCCTAATTTCCATTTATTCCAATGTAATTTTATTTATCATTTGTGAGTACAGCTGAAACCCAAGTTGTATGAGCGATACACTCCTTTAAAAGAATAGAGAAAGGGGGATCCCTGGGTGGCGCAGCGGTTTGGCGCCTGCCTTTGGCCCAGGGCGCGATCCTGGAGACCCGGGATCGAATCCCACATCGGGCTCCCGGTGCATGGAGCCTGCTTCTGCCTCTGCCTATGTCTCTGCCTCTCTCTCTTTCTCTCTCTGTGACTATCATAAATAAATAAAAATTAAAAAAAAAAAAAGAAAAGAATAGAGAAAGGAAAAGAAAAGAAAAGGAAAAAATTATTCAATCTGAGTCTATGTAATAGAAAGCTTCACAATTATGGATAGATTTGGGATGCCTGGATGGCTCAGCAGTTGAGTGTCTGCCTTCGGCTCAGGGCATGATCCCGGGAGTCTGTTTCTCTCTTTGCCTGTGTCCCTGCCTGTGTCTCTGCCTCTCTCTCTCTCTCTCTCTCTCTCTCTCTCTCTCATAAATAAATAAATAAATCTTTTAAAAAATTATGGACTAGATTTAGAATGCACAATTATATTACAGTGAAATTTACAAATTTATCAAAAACTAATACATATCAATTGCAACTTGAGGAAATGGCACATTGTTTTTATACTTGTGTACAGTTTGCTAGGTCATTTGCTACACTGGCTATATAATAGACTGTCATGGGCTCCCTCAGGTTGCCTGGTTAATTCTTTAGTGAGAAGTTAACAATATCTGAAAAGTCTGGGCCTCCTGAGAGAAGAGACTCTCTGAGTATACTATTTGTTGAGACTCTTGATGGCAAAATCCACATCCTGTGTGCATATGTGGACTAGGCACACAGAAGGAATTCATGGGCTGGAGCAACTAAAAAGTCTATTCTAGTCAAATTCTAGATATAAACTTAACTTGACCAGAGTCCCATACTATCAAGCCCTCTCTCCATCTGACCTCTGTATCTTAAAAAACAAACAAACAAAAAAAAAAACACAACCCATGCCTGCAGGGGTCCTGGTAGATCAAGACTTAAGTTGCCTTACAGCCAGTGCTCCCAGCAAGAAGGCTTCACTTCCTCAATAACTCCAGTGGAGCTTCTTCCAGGAATTAGGGGCATCCTGCCTGTCCTCCCTACACATGGCTTGTGAATGGGAATGCTCCATCTGATCCACATGGGCTGAACATGAGAGAAAGTGGGTTCCCCAAAGGAAAATGGAGGTTCCATAGCAGATACTGTCCACTGCCACTCAACATACATTTCCCCCTTTCCCTGCACAGAATTCTAATGATTCAGGTAGAACAGAGATCTTGATCAAAAGGAGAGTTTGCTCTTATCCTCACCGCCAGGATGAATTATTAGAAATTTTATTCCTGGACCTGGGGAGCCCCGCGCTGCAGCAAGCCAGGCCCTCCGCCGACATGAAGCCATGGGGCGAGTGCAGGAGCTTCCTGGCTCCCGGCTTGCTGCAGCACCAGCTGGCCATCGTCACTGGCAGGGCCACGGGCATCGAGAAGGCCATCGCCACTGAGCTCCTGCACCTGGGATGTAATGTGGTCATTGCATCTCGTAATTTTGATCGATTAAAATCTACTGCAGATGAACTGAGGGCCAGCCTACCCCCGACCAACCAGGCTCAGGTCACTCCCATAAAATGCAACATTTGCAAAGAAGAGGTGAACAATTTGGTCAGATCCACCTTAGAGATTTATGGTAAAATCAACTTTTTGGTAAACAATGGAGGAGGCCAGTTCATGGCTTCTATGGAAAACATTAATGCAAAGGGATGGCATGCTGTGATTGAAACCAACCTGACAGGCACCTTCTACATGTGCAAAGCAGTTTACAACTCCTGGATGAAAGAGCATGGAGGATCTATTATCAATATTATTATCCTTACTAGAAATGGATATCCAGGATTTACGCATAGTGAAGCTGCCAGAGCAGGGGTTTACAAGCTCACCAAATCCATAGGGGTGGAATGGGCCAACAGTGGAATAAGGATCAACTGTGTTGCCCCTGGAACCATTTATTCCCCGAGTGCTGTTGACAACTATGGTCCTTTGGCAGAAAACGTATTTGCAGGGTACTTTGAGAAAATCCCAGCTAAGTGAATTGGAGTGCCTGAGGAGATCTCCTTGGTGGTCTGCTTCCTGCTGTCCCCTGCAGCTTCCTTCATCACTGGACAGTTGGTGAACGTGGACGGGGGCCAATCTCTGTATACGCACATATTTGACGTACCAGATCATGACAACTGGCCTGATGGAGCAGGGGACATTTCCTTTGTCAAACATTTGAAGAATACTTTCATGAGTAAAAGCAAGCTCTAAGATAAGGAAACTATAGAGGTGTCTCTTGTCTCCAAATGCCTTAATATATCAAGAATGCACCTTGGTACTTTACAGGAGCTAATAATTTGTATGCAGCAATCACTATCTGCCTTTTTAACATTATCAAATTGTGCTTATGCAAAAACTATTCCCAAAATAAGTGCATTTTTAAGCCCCAACCAACACCATGTGATTAAAGATTTCTTTTTTAGGAATGGTGCTTAGCATACATTGTGATTGTGTCTTTTATTTCTAAGAAAGATATTTGAAAAATGAAAAATGAAACAATTTCAAATTGATAATAGAGGTATCATGATCTCCCAAAAGGTTTTAGTATTTAATTGTAGAGGTGGGAAGTAAATCTAAATTGTGGCATCATGATGATTCTTCAAACTAAAGATATACAGTGACTCATATTTCATAGTAGATATTATGCTTTTGGATCCATAAAACTTTATGGTAATTATCAATGTGTGATTTGTTTTGTTCATGAAATCAACTTCGTATAAAGCCTCTTAATTCAAAAGAAAAATGAAGTTATATGTAGTATTTCTTGGTAGTACTTGATTTGTGTCTTAAGTTCCAATCTAAAGTATTCCCTTTTCTTCATGTTTCTTTTTTATATGCAAAACAATTGTTAAATGTCATGCAAATGTATTAGGCTTCAGTATTCTGCTTTCAACTGATTTTTTTGGGCAATGATCCTGACTTCCGAAATGCCATTTATAAATTATGTACATTCATCTTTTTATTAAACCTCTTTCAATTGAAAAAAAAAAGAAATTTTATTCCTTCAGCCCTATAATATTGGTCTAGAAGTGGTCATGTGATACAGCCCCAGCTAATAAGAAATAAGCATTAGTTTGCTAAGTAGAGCCTTTTAGAAAGATATGCTTTGCTAGAAAAAAGATCTGGCATGGTTCTTTTGCTCTTTTACCCTCTACCTCCTTTCTACTTGGAATATGAATGTGATGCCAGGAAGGCAGCAGCCATCTTGTCACTATGAAGCAAAAAGCATGAGGCTGCATATGAACACCTCCCAAAGCTGGTAGACCAGAAAAATAGAAATTTTCTGGGTACCTGATAGCTCCAATGAGCCTCTGCACTAGCCCTGACTCTCAACCTCCAGACTTATCATGCGATACAAGAAACCCTTATTTGTTAAAGCCGTTGTTAGTTGTGTTTTCTGTTACTTGTAGCCAAATACAATTCTGACTGCTACAGATGCTATTACCAGAAGATTAGAAAATGGACACTGGGCAGTCAAAAACAACCAATTTTCACCAGAGATACTGAAATACAGTAGTTTCCACCTTATCCGGGAAAGATACATTCCAAGACCCCAAGTAGATGCTTAAAACCACGGATAGTACTGAAACCTATATATTATGTTCTTTCCTATACATACTTGCCAAAGATAAAGTTTAACTTATAAATTAAGCACAGTAAGAGATTACCAACAATAACTAATATAAAACAATTATAACAATATACTATCATGAACTGTATGTAAATGTCTCTCTCTCAAAATATTTTATTGTACTGTACTCACACTTCTTGTAATGATGTGAGATGATAAAATGCCTACATGATGAGTTGAGTGAGGTGAGTGACACAAGTACTGTGACGTGACATCAGGCTACTACTGACCTGACAACACATCAGAAGGAGGATCATCATCTTCTGGACCACAGCTGACCATGGGTAACTGAGACTATGGAAAGCAAAACTGTGGACAAGGGGAGATACTTTACTAATAACCCAACGCTAGAGTTTTCCATTTCTTCAATTATGTACCCGGAAATCACCTTCTAAATAAAAGAAGGGAAGAGAAGGAAGAAGTGGAAAGAGGATGCAGAATGGAATGTGAAAGGGTATCTCAGACTGATTTAGTTCACTTTCCTTCCTTACTGAGAACAGACGGGGTGACAAATATCAAACCTATTAATTAAAGATGAGTTTGAATGAACAAGTTCTTCTTTTCAAATGTTAACACCATGCTTCCAAGGAAGCTTACACCCAAAACAATCAAAACAGAATGGACTTTAGAACTTCATTCAAATCTATCCCTGGCACTTATTAGCTGTGAGATCTAGAGCAAATTATATTTAACTGAGAGCCTCAGTTTCCTTCTATGAAGGATGAGGATAATGACTTCTATCTTGTAGGGTTAGGGTTTTTTTTCCTTTCCTCCTTTAATTACTTTTAAAAAAGTTTTATTAAAGCATAATATAGATCACTGGATTAAAGGTTGTTATAAAACATATATCCATGAACTAGGGCACCTAGCTGGCTCAGTCAGTGAAGCATGAAACTCTTGTTCTCAAGGTTGAGCTCAAGCCCCATGTTGGGTGTAGAAATCAACTTAAAAAATTTTTTTTAATCTGGGGCAGCCTGGGTAGCTCAGCAGTTTAGCACCACCTTCGGCCCAGGGCATGATCCTGGAGATCCAGCGTCGAGTCCCACATTGGGCTCCTTGCATGGAGCCTGCTTCTGTCTCTGCCTCTCTCTCTGTTTCTCATGAATAAATAAATAAAATTTTTTTAAAAATGTTTTTTAATCTAAATAAATAAATAAATAAAGTATATACCCATGAACCAGTGCAATCTGAACCTTTACACCTACAAACCACACTCTCTCTTGAGTTTCACTATTCTTTCAGTTTTTCACATTCATTTACTCATGCCTCATTTATTGGACCCCTCTTATAGGCAAAGTACATGTACATCTAACATATGTAATTTTATATTCTTGTGTGCAATTTGATCACTGGTTCAACAGCAGGAAACTTACCATATATTTCCTTCTCATTATGCATACTCCATAAACAACACCTACCAGATGCCCCACATGAATGTAACTTTCATTCCCAAGCTTGGATTTTGGTCATTTTTGTCTATTGCTATATCCCCGTCATATAGAATAGAGCTTGCCATATACTGGCATGCAATAAATATTTATTGACTAGATGACTTTACCTCTGTTGGGTTTTTATGACAGGTGGACCTTCTTCCTACTTGAACCTTCCTATTTCCCTAAGCATGTTGAAATCTGTTTATATCCTGAAGTTCACATGAGGCTTAAAATTGTGAAATAAAGGGAAGGATGCCTGCTGACTTTAGTCACCTTAAGAGAAGTGGTACCACACTGAAAATGACACAAATGATAGTTCAGCCCAGGTCATGTCAAGTGGACATAAGCCAAAGATTTAGTCACTCTGAATTGCCACATCTTTTTAAGACAACGTAATAACAATGGCCAGGCATTGTGCCAAGTACATTATATATATGATCTCATTTACTCCTTCCAACAATCTCAAAGACAGATGTCATTACCCCCATGTTACAGATGAAGAAAGTATTTAGAGAAGACAATGTATCTAAGATTAAGCACCCAGATAGTAATTAGTGGAGCCAGCATTCCAATTCAGGTCTGTTGACTCTAGAAAACTGCTCTGAACCACTTTCCCACATTGGTTTATATGAAAACCAAAGCCCCTGAATAGGAAATGGATCTGTATAGATGGGTCATAAGGTACATAAGCAACCAAATTTAATCTTGAAATAATCTTGACCCATGTAGAACAGATGGTCAAAATCCAAATATCAGATTATTACTTATAGGCATTCAACACCATTAGTATCAGGCTCCTGCTCAGAAAAGGGGCAGAACTTCCCCACTGGCCAGCTATGACTTATTTTAAATACCACCTCTCTGAATGATTCCTATTCACATAATGTCAAAGTAGCTCATTGGAGATCAATAATATTGTACATGAAAGCCTGCTCACCAGAAGTATTTTTTAACATTTTTGAAGTTTTTATTATAGAAAATTTCAAACATATCCAAAGAGAAAAGTACAGCTATCCTTCACTCAGTGAGTTTAATCCATTCCTAAAAATGTTTCCTCTAAATGAACAAGGAAAACAAACTTAAGTAAGTGTATTAGTTTGCTAAGGCTGCCATAACAAAGTACCACAAATTACATGGATGGAACAATAAAAATTTATTCTCTCAGAGTTCTGGTATAATGACAAAAAGTCATTACACCAAAAGCAAAGAAGTCGCTGCTTAAAATGTGGTATAGGGATCCCTGGGTGGCGCAGCGGTTTAGCGCCTGCCTTTGGCCCAGGGCGCGATCCTGGAGACCCGGGATCGAATCCCACATCAGGCTCCCAGTGCATGGAGCCTGCTTCTCCCTCTGCCTGTGTCTCTGCCTCTCTCTTTCTCTCTCTCTCTCTCTCTCTCTGTGTGTGTGACTATCATAAATAAGTAAAAATTAAAAAAATTAAAAATAAATAAAATAAAATGTGGTATAAATTTCAAGAGCCCCACTATGAAAAGTCATTAATTGAACAATTATTATTTACGTCTGTACAATGAGCCTCCACGCGTCAAGTCACCCAGCTTCACTCATTAACCTATGGTTAATCTTGTTTCATCCATTCCCTCACCCAGTGTCCCCTCCCCTGCCCAGATCATTTTGAAGCAAGTCTATATCATAGTTCATCAATAAATTAGAATTACTTTTGGAAAAGAAACATTGCTCAGCTTTTAATAGATTACATGCAAACCACAGTGGAGCAAGGTTCTACAAGTATTTCCCAACAATACATCAATTTTCCTGATAAAAGAATCTTTCCGGGCAGCCCAGGTGGCTCAGCGGTTTAGCGCCACCTTCAGCCCAGAGTGTGACCCTGGAGACCCGGGATCTAGTCGAATGTCGGGCTCCCTACATGGAGCCTGCTTCTCCCTGTGCCTGTGTCTCTGCCTCTCTCTGTGTGTGTCTCTCACGAATAAGTAAATAAAATCTTAAAAAAAAAAAAAAATCTTTCCATACTAAACATTTATGGCTTAGACATGGTTCCAAAGCTCAGCTCTGGGGATCCCTGGGTGGCGCAGCAGTTTGGCGCCTGCCTTTGGCCCAGGGCGCGATCCTGGAGACCCGGGATCGAATCCCACATCAGGCTCCCGGTGCATGGAGCCTGCTTCTCCCTCTG